AAACATACAATGAAGATCAATTTACAAAGATCTTGTTGTTACTTGCTCGGGTGCAGCTGCCTTGCTCGCACATTCTGATACATACATACACACCATCGACACTTGCTCTAAAACGTGTGCACACCGCGACGATTACTTGGGAAAAGGGAAGGTGCTAATTGTCGCTGTCAGGTACTACTACACAGCAGCGCCAATCGCTTGCAATTTCAATCGAATCCGCCTTGTCAATCTCAACTACTCCGAGTTTCTTCTCTCCTCAATCGATAGAGAGGGGCACTCCGCGCGAAAATGTCCCTCAGCCTCACACTGGCAACATTCCTTCCGAACTCGATTAAATTTTGGTTTCAAATTTTGTATTCTTTTTAAATTTCTCGTTCTTATTGTCTGTGTATTCTCTTTCTTTTTGGAAATCTGTTCCGTCTCATTATGCTTGCTCCCGAATTTTGACCTTTTCTCCTAATTTTCCCGTGAAATTTTGCGTGAGAAACTATTTTCTTAAATTACTTTAATAGCCTTCTCTATGACTGTCATCAAGGAAGTCAGACTTTCCAAATTTGCCAATTTATATAGTGATTTTATTGCTAGATCTGGAGATTTTGAATAGTCCATTAAGATTTTTATCGCAATTTTGCGACATGTCGAAACTCTAGATTTTTGATAAATATTCGAAGAATTCTACAGATTTTCAAGCTTGTTCTAGTTGCTTTGGCTTTTAAAGTACTATTACATTAAACAACAGATAACATTTTTTCAGCCCATCGACAAAATGTATCAAAGAATAGCGTATGGAAGTTTCAACTTTCTATGTCACCGTACAATTCAATCGTAAGTATCGATCATTTAAGCGATCTTTATAGAGATACGTATTTTAATATAATTAGTTTACATAGTACGAAGTGTACAAACGTAATCAACAATGTGATAGGACTTTATTTTTACAAGGCAGTCAAAGACATTGGTGATAGATATTATAGTTTATTAATTGATAAATCTATTGACATTACACTGAATAAAATGTTTGGTATTGACATTAGATATTACAGCATTAAATAAAATAAAAATCGTATCGACCTTTTTAAAACTGATCCATATTGAAGATGGCACAGCGGAGTCTGTATTGTAAAAAATTATTGACTGATGCAAAATTGCAGTTAATCAAAGTGCAAGGTATTGACACCGATAATGCATCGACTATGGTAGGAGTGAATTCAGGCGTTTACGCGCGATTGAAGAAAGACGTACCTCATTTAATATTAATTTGATGTATGTGTCACTCATTCCAACTTGCCATTTCGAAGGTGACTGAAAATACGCTGCCTCGAAATATTGAATTTTTGATTAAAGAAACCTATAATTGGTTTGCTAATTTGTCTATACAACAATTAAATTATGCGTTGGTCTATCAGATATTAAACGATAACTAAAAGGCCTTAAAAATTTTGCAAATCTCGTAAACGCGATGGTTATCAATCGAGTTTGCAGTCAAATGAATTTTAGATTCAATGGACAGAGTTGAAAACGCATTTCGAAATCTCACGAATCAATGACAATTCTTATACAGCTGAATTATTATATTCCATGTATCGTGACAAAAAAATTTCATCTATTTTAATTTTTTATATCCGATTTTAAACATGGTGCAGAAAACAAATAAGAATTTTGAGTTAAAAGTGGCTGATCCAACAAAGTTACTTTTGGACATTAAAAGGCTTTATTCTATGGTTATTAATAAAATTATACTTTCTACGGCGAGAATAGATATTTTCGAGCATGATATTGAAAAGTATTCGAATCTTTTGCCTGCCTTGGATTACGCGTTTGATTCTTTTTGTACAGAAAATGAAATCGTTGACTAGGAAAAAGAAACCTTGAAATCTAGATGTGTTTCTTTTCTAATTGCTCTGGCGAAAGAATTAAAAAACCGTTTACCTGATAATATCAATTAAAATATTGAAATGCACAAGTGCGTTTTCTGTGACCAAATACTTGAAAGTAAACTTCCGATTGCAAATATAGCTATTACGGTAAAAAAGACGCAATAACTATCGCTTAAATCGAATTAGAGTGAGAGAATATTCATTATATTAGGTGGAAAGAAACGCAAGACACTGACAAATTTTGGATAGAAATAATAAATTATCGAAAAGCTAATGGACAAAATCCTTTCAAAAACTTAATCGATTTGGTCTTTAAAGTTCTCCTCACTCTAATACGAATATTGAGCGAATATTTATAGACCAGATGAATCTAATTAAAACCAAGTTGCGGAACAAAATTAAGCTTCCATTGTTAAATAATATATATTGCATATTCAATATGGATTCAAAAGACTTGATGTTTGCCGTAATAATTACATTGTACTTGAAAAAATTTTAAAAAACAAAAGTAATACGAAAATATATGAGAAGTCAGTAGTACCATAGAGTCGAATCGGATGTTCCTGAAATGGAAGCGGAGGAAATAAATTAGTTGTTGCTATAACAATATGTAATGTATTATTTAAAATTATATAAATACGTAACGTAAAACATTACATTAATTTGTATTAAAACATATGACATTTATTTCATAATTTTATCGTACGTATTTTATAATTTTTTTCTGATTTACAAAAAATGTTGATATTATTTTGATGTTTTAAAGTATATTTCTTATACATATATAAACAATTTAAATATTATTAATAAATTATAAGAAATTGAAAGAGAGTAAATATCAAAACGCAGCCTTTAATTCAAGCATTATTAAATTTTTCGTCATGATTTAATTACTGTATTAACATTTCTCAATTTTCTAATTAAAACTTTTTGGTGAATAATTGGAGTTTTTTAGAGATTTTTGAATTCTAATTTTGAAATTTGTTCTATCAGCGAGTTGGCAACACTGCTTCCAATAGTATAAAAGCCTTAGGCCTGTTCTTTTCAACTGAACTGGCTGCACTAGTTCAGAGTTTATCTTTATTCTTCCAATGTAGAAAGAGAAAGATAGACTGCGAACTAGTGCAGATAAAAAGAACAGGCCTATAGTGTTCGGTACTAGAAATCGGTCCAAGTTTTCGAACTGAGAACTGTACAGCCAATAAAATTGTTGCTTTTCTAAGTCCGAGAACTTGGATCAATTTTTACTATTTCTAGTATCATGGGCTTAAGACTTGAGGTATGTACGTTTTAATAAAGACATCCGACAAAGCCGCGACAAACTGCGCACATGCAATCTTATCTCGAATGAGCATTCCGTTTCGGATAGATCAAACGGGACAAATGTTCGAGATAAACGCCGAGAGTTGACAGATCTACGCTATATGGAAATTTTCCAAGAAGTAAATTTGCCTAGCAAAGTGGACGCGTGCTTTCCCCGCACTGGCAGAACAACGTGCCGGCATGTGGCTGCGAAGAAAGGTCAACATGACCTCTGAACCTTCCTTCTAATGGTCCTTTGCATGTGGTCGACAATGACGGAGACACTCCCAGACATTACGAAGCATACGAGTCAGTTGGAAATCGTTGCTGGATCTGCCATGTTAAGCTAAGCACCGGTGTTTTCTCGTTTTTTATTGAATAGGAATCAACCGGAGATAATGCATTGTCTGTTATGGCGAAACGCGGTCACCAGTGCCGTCAACGACGGCAGATGTAATGCTCTGCATGTGGCCGCGGAGAAGGGTCAGCTCGAGATCTGCACCCTCCTTCTGAACATTGGTGCTTCTTTGCATGAGGTCGACGAGGAAGGAAACACGCCCTTGCATTATGCGGCACTCAGGTAAGTAGAAAATCATTGTTGGATCTACCGTAACGTCAAACTAACGTCAAACTAACTAACAAACCCTTTCGTTTGATTAAACAGCAATCAGCTGGAGATAACGGATCTACTGTTATCGCGAGGCGCAGCCATCGATGCCGTCAATAACAACAAACGTAGTGCTCTGCATGTGACCGCGGAGAACGGTCGTCGCGAGGTCTGCACCTTTCTTTTGAACGCTGGTGCTTCTTTGCATTTAGTCGATAAGGACGGAAACACGCCCTTACATTTAGCGGCATACGAGTA